TTTCATCGACAACTGTCATCACTGGCTCGATACTAAAGACCAGATTGGCAAAAAGAATTAGAAACAATAAACTCTGGCAACGCACAAACCAATCAAAAACCTATCGCTCAACAAATATGTGGAAGAAAATGGAGACTGATCAAACACATGCTGAGAAGGCGTTTGAGTGACATCGCTCGCCTGACCCCTCAAGTGAAGCGCGAATGGGAAACACCGAGTTGGGTTGTGTCTGAGGGTGACACGGGGGAGATCGTGTGGCGAGGAAGAGATGAAAGATTATGGACAGTTGTAGGGCCAGCTAAAGAGTACTATAGACAACAAGAGAAAATGGAGATGTGATGTTGAAGCCCTATGTTTCACCGGGAACTCAAGGAAATAATAATTAATAACATATATATCGAAATGATCCTCGACTTTTACTCACTTTAGTTACATAAGTATATCACTTTCACTCTGCAATGTTCTATCTTTTATTCTTTTGTCCAACAAAAGTTATTTAACTTCAAGCAAACAAAGTCAGAAGTGCTCGTTCAGCGAAGGAGTCAGTGCTTCTCGTTACATGAATACAGCACGTCGATATGCTTTTGTTTATCATTTATTAGGCTTGTTTTAGTTTTTAGTGGCACACATCCGCTCTGTTGAAAATGATAAACGTTTCAAGTGTTGGTTTTTAGGGATTTGGTTAGTTACAGGATTTCATCATGAGCTGACATTAGTTAGAGAACCATTGGAAAACTTGGGAGTACTGGACAGCTGTTTCGTCCTGGTTTGGGACTGTTTAACTGACCAGTAGGGTGCAGAAGGTCGGGTGTAAGGACAAATACTCACCGAAGACATTGGCTAACGGTCACGCTATGTCGTGAATTGACAGAAGTTGAAATTCATGGACTGGCCATTGAATCAGTCGGATCCCAGTGACTTAATAGTCCACGAGCTCACTAGCCTTGTAACCAGATGGTCCTGGGTTCGAACCCTAGCAATGGGTGCGTACTGATGTAGAGTTCCAAACTAGGCTGACGAAACAGCTGTCCAGTACTCCCTGCAGGTTTTCCAATGGTTCTCTAACTAATGTCAGCTCATGATGAAATCCTAATATATGTTTGTTAACTTATGAATCACAGGCCTGGATAATGCTGTAGATTAAGAGTCACACAAACTGCATTTCTGCCTCCCTTGAATTAATAATTCCGGTCAATCTAACCAGCAGACAATCAAATTTTATGTGCAGATCGATCTCATAGAAGCATCGTTACCACCGTGAATATTCATTTGTCACTAGATCATTATTTTTTCAGGATAAGATATATGCGTATATGTAAAAGTCATTAAGTGGTTAAGATAAATTTAGACATAGTTGAAAGGAAGATAGAAAACGACAAATGTAGAAATACCAACTTGTAAAACAGACTATGCAAATCTATAAATATCACATTGGTATCACATGAGCAAAAAATGACCACAAATCATATATCCACAGTGACTAATGGAGGAAAATGGTAATGTAGTGAATTTATATTTTTGAATGAACTGCTGAATTTTCTCCGAATTTCTAGCATAGTTATAAAGCAAAATCATCTCATAGCTTATTCAGTGCAAAATAAAAATGCATGATGTTGAACGCCACTTTCTGTGAGCGTCACTATCTATCAATAAAATGTATTGACTTCGGGTGTACCGTAAATGTTGTACATAGCGCGGCATATGACAGGAAAATATTTAACGCAGTCATCATTTATATTTGGACGAATGTTTTTTGATTAAACTACAGATATAATTGGTTAAAAATGATGTTTTTAAACAAAACTGCGAATAGAATGTACAGAAGCGTCTACATCTCCAGATTTTAGCTAACGTATGGCAGTGCAGTTTACTATTATTTATTATGAGAGAAACTTGATACGTTATGGACACTAATAGATGCGTCTCACTAAAGTCTCTTTAGTTTGTATGACGGCTGAAGTATTACCCCGACACCCAGGCAGAAGCGGATGGTTGTCTTGAGCGGAAAAACTCCGAGCTTTCGGCTTGAAGTCTGACCCACAAGACAGTGAAGCAATGTGATGAGGTACACTCCCGTGGTTACCGGTGACACAAACAGGTTCATACGCTATTCAATCCTTAGGTTTGGAATCAAAATTTTTCAGCTCCCGTAAGCAGAACTGCATGTCTACCAATCCGGTTTTAAGTGCTAGACGTTCACGTTCACACTTTCACTTTTGTAATGAACACCTCCTCCGCGTGAAGGTAATGAATAGGAATTACATGGCAGAGGCTACGAACACGCGGCAACATGAGACTGTTTCGATGGTAAGACTGAAGTCTATCCACTCTCGGCCGTATCAGGTTGTTTATTGGTAGTGCAGCAATGAATTACGTAACCAATACATAATACTACATTTAAAAATCACGGTTTTTTACAGCGGTGAGCAAGTGCAAAAATTCGTACACTAAAGGAAGCAACTATTACCTTTATTAACTGTTCATTTTATCATTTTTGTTCTATCTTTTATTATTCCTGTTGCTAATCGAACGAGTTTTGTAGATCTCAGTTTATGTAATTTTCTAGCTATCTTTGCCGAATCTTTGATGAATCACCTATGAATATTCTTCTTCTGATAGAATAAAAAGATCAATAATTTGATCGAGTTTAATTGAGCTTAGTGTTATAAAAATTATTGTTGCATCCGATAGGTATTAAGACTTTCACCTATATTAGTCTTATGTAAAAAAACTAACCGATTGACTAAGGAACTAAAGTATATTCACGTGTTGGTTTGTAGGGATTTGATTGGTTAGAGGATTTCATCATGCGCTGACATTAGTTAGAGAACCATTGGAAAACCTGGGAGTACTGGACAGCTGTTTCGCCATAGCTTGGGACTCTTTAGCACTACACGTCCACCGGGGTTCACCGAAGACATTGGCTAGGGTCGCGCTATGTCGTGAATTGGCAGAGTTAGAATTCATGGGCCATTGGATCGGGTCTCAGTGGCTCAGTGGTCTAAAAACTCGCTAGCCTTGTAACCAGAAGGTCCTGGGTTCGAGCCCCGGCGGGTGTGTACTGATGAAGAGTTCCAAACTAGGACGAAACAGATGTCCAGTTCTCCTAGGTTTTCCAATGGTTCTTTAACTAATGTCAGCTCATGATGAAATCCTGGAACTAAAGTATAATTCATTACAGAAATGCAGTTCCGCGAAGTTTATATCGCCACACTTCGTAAAAGCAAACAGAGTAGAAGAGAATAGAAATGTAGAGATGATAGTATATCGGACAGATGTGAGTGCTGGAGAGAAAATCACCTGATGAAAAGCCTCTATTCTAAGTCACTTGTAACTAACCGCCTCTAATGTCAATGAGGGTGTACTACTTCATCATTACATGTTTCCAGTTATGGATTCTTATATTATATTGCAGTGTTAATAAAGATAGTTTAGATCCAAATAATCAACTGGACGTGATCATTTTATAATTAGACAGTGCCTTCCTGTCTACATTCCTGCGGAATATCTATGCCATTAAAACCCGCTCAGATGCAGGATAACTCCTAAAGTCACACACGTTTACAAATACACCAACTGTACCCCTCAGCTATTATTTACTGAATAACCTTATTTTCTTATGATGATTATTTGCAGTTATAGATAAGACACCACTGAAACAATGCGAATTCAAACTATGCTGCTAAGGTTATTCTCATACAGCGGATCAATATCACTACCTAAAGTATGCGTCGGAAACGTGTCAAATCATAATATATATATATATATATATATATATATATATATATATATATATATATATATATGAATCAGACAGAAAGATTATATTTTATCAGGGTTACATTTCACAGCCCAGCCTCAAACACATTTTCAAGGTTACATTATCAGATATTTGTAATAAGTCAAGTGACCGGTTGATACACTGTAGTGAATTTTGTATACAAAGATGCCTATACAGTTGGCAAAATATCTCTACAACTAATCAAGGTCAACATATGAGACTGCTAAGTATATTGCATTTGGTGTGGAATAAAACTGTTAGTTTAGTGTGTGTATTTTATCAAATGAGCATTAATTACCCGTCGTATCTTGGATTCGTCACTAAGGTAACCTGTGAGCCAATTATTCCACGGTGTTGGTTTACAGGCTTTTAACTGATCACAGGTGATGTAAATTAGAGAACTATTGAAAAACTAGTAGGGAGTACTGGACAGCTGTTTCCTCCTAGTTTGGGACTCTTCAGTAGTACACCCAATATATTACAAATCTGTAAAGGTTGGAATTCATAGGTCATATTGGATTAGCGTCACAGCGGCTGAGTAGTCTACGAGCTTGTCCCGCATTCATACTCCGGTGGATGCGCACTGATAAGGTGTCATAAACTAGGACGAAGCAACTTTCCCTCATTTCCTGGTTTGTCAATTGTTTTCTAACTGATATCAGCTCGTAAACGAACCTGTGATCAATTTATTTGACACCTTAACGTGATGCAAGTATGCTGAAATATACGGCGCTTTCTCTGTAGAGGCATTTGAAGTGTGTTTAAGTCCAAAGAAAGATGATGTACAGCTGTGAATATATATACAATCCAGTATTATTAAATAGTCAGTAGAACGACTGGATCTCGTCTTTCCAACTCATGTCATTTACAGGTACAACGCTTTTCTTTCTTTTCTTTTCCTTTTCTCTCCCTCTCTCTTTTTTTCTCTGTTATGTGCTGCTTTGTTTCTTTCTTCCTTACTAACTCTATTAAAACATTCTTCGTTCTCTCACACTATGTGTATCTCGACCTTTTTATTAGCGCTTACGCCAGTAAATATGATAGCACCTACTTTTCTAACACCTTCAAACACTCTGTTCAATTTTGGCTTTGCTACCGACATGCCAATATGTTGTTGTCATAATGAACTGAGTTTACCCTTAACCCATGTAGAATTTTATTGATTGTTAATGTACTAACTGGATGCAATACTGTAGTAAAATATATAATGAAAACTCACTTTTCTGAGCACCAGGTAACGCATGAGGAAAAACACACCGATAGACGCTAAACCACTTAGAGCAGGTGAAAGGAACCATGATCCAACTGTGAATAGGAATGAGTAAAAACAAAAAAATCAATAAAATAAGGTGAGGAAACTAGTAAATTATATATATATATATATATCATAGAGAAGATTTGTAGCTCAGGTGGATGATTTGCAATTAGTAGTGTTCTCTGAGCTGGTTGGTTTAGCTGTGGAGCATAAAGATAGTTAGCGGGAGAGGCAATTCTACCACTCATGGAAAATTTAAATAAGTTCAGTTTATGCTAAAAGTTGCGCTGAATATGTTGTCCAGAAGGACGACGAAAGCCTCGCAACTTAAAGCCAAACTGCTCAGAGAACACTATTAATAGCAAATAATATAATATAATCACTTTATTCCAAACGATAATAATAATAATTACTATTATACAGAATGGCATTTTCAGCGTTTTGTACATATGTAGCCCCTTTTATAAATATATTATTTCATATTAATATATGTGTAAAACTTGGGCACTGTGGTAATAAGTAATTCAATATTAGTTTGCTTATTAGATGTATCACACAGTGAAGCAGTATTATTTACTGGATGATGTTTCGAATAAAAGGTCAAACTAGTAGGACAGGGGCAGTCAATCAGACTAACCGAACATAAAAACCTAGCAAAATCTAGATTAGTTGACCCAAATAAGATAAGAAATCTAGAGAATATTTCAGCTATACCACTCACTATATGAAGTTACACACAACCATACAATAGGATGGGATAAGATGACAGTTTTAAAATCTAATGTCACAAGGTGGAGGGAGGGAGAGATTGATAACAGAAGTTTTGTTTATCGAATTAACTGCAAATACATTTGATAGGAATGATTCAACACCTGTCCCAGGTATCTGGGAAATTCTGCTACCCTTACGACAAATAGGAGAAGGCAAAGAAAACTATAAAACTCAAGTTTCAAAGCCGTGTGGTTCTGTCTGTCTGTTTTCGACATAGAACTTTGCACAAATGTGCGGAAGTTCAAGTCGCCACATTCCGTGTAGCACGCGAAGCAAGAGAAGAAAGTACAAGAAAAGCATAATAGAAACAGTGAGCAGAGGTGTGAGACAAAGGAGGAGTAATAACGAAGAACAAAACAGTTTCATTGGAGATCATAAGTCACAGGGAGTGGATGCATCTGCGCCACTGAGAACGATTTTGAGCCATGTCACCAATTGTTTCCAACCATAGATTTTTACCGTCCCGAGGACCCCAGCCTGGAAGTCTACACCTTCCTACGTGGCTTAGACCAACTGTTGTGGATTTCATTGACTGATGCCATGCCCGACCGAAAGCTGCTACCTTGACGTGGTGGTCGGGCTTGAACACCGCAATGACCTAATCAAGCTATACTGGCTGAGACTTATGTCTCTTGAGGTTCTACCATGCCAGGCAGGTTGTTTGGATAGCGGTTAAACAAAAAGCAGCTACCCAATCCAACATCATGTCCAATACAAAATTACAAAATTTCATGCCGGATCGGCCGCGGCCCGGATTAACAACGACCGCGCTTCCTGCTGCCGTGTCACAGGGCAGGAGTGATAAATCTGCTACTGAGACACACCAAACAAAAAAGAACGAACAAAAACAGGCCGCGTGTGACCGGCCTCAAGCAGTTGTCCCCTGGGCTCTGCGGTCACGCAACCAACTTCCACGGTGTGGGCAGCCGGGAAGTAACAATCGCCCTCACAATCCGAAATGCACACGAAACCTCTCTATTACTCACTCATCTTTGAAAAAATCTTCATCTCTATCATCTTGCCTTCCTTCCACTGATGCAACTCCTCGACTTGATAGCTCTCCACTTCCTCTCCTCTCTGCGCCCACTAAAAACGATGGAAGCCAAAAAACCACCACCGACAGCCTCTTAAAGCCGCGCCACCAATTTCATATAGGAGCTCTTAATGTTAGGACACTTTGCCAAATAGGACAACAAGCATCACTAGCCAAGACCCTGGCATCCCGAGCCATTGATGTATGCTGTGTTTCAGAAACACGCATACAAGACCCAAGTGTGGTTATTCACCTAACCCCACCTGGCCAACAGGTTGAATCTGCAAAATTCACCTTGAGGGTGTCAGGAGATGCCACAGCTAGTTCACGAGGACTAGCTGGCGTAGGGATAGCTTTGAGTACTAGGGCAGAAAAGACATTGCTTGACTGGATCCCGGTAGATAGCCGAATGTGTGCTGTCCGTCTGAACGGATCAGTAAGAAGGAGAAAGGACTGCACTACTCGCTGATGCCTTTTCGTAATCTCCGCCTACGCCCCCATTGACTGCAGTTCGGATGAAACGAAGGATGATTATGAACAGTAATAAATTGTGTTCGAAACGCTGTCATCCAGTAAATAATACTGTTTCACTGTGTGATACATCTAATAAACAAACTAATATGCAATATTAATTCATAAATAAGTAAAAATATTAAAACTACGAAAGCTGAAAGTCAGTAGTATATAGTGAATAACAAAGAGATAATATGTAATATGTAATAATGATTCTTGTCATAATTCGATGTTGATTTACTGATCTATAAACTCTTTTGTGACATTAATCTCTTCATACAAAATCCGTGCTAAACTGTTGGTATAGTCGAATTTTTATATTTGCTGGCCCGTGTGAGCATAAATTCTTATGAAATCTCTTCTTCTTTTACAAGAAGAGGTATAAGGAAAACGTTGCGAGCAGCAAAAAAGATGTTCGGTATTAGGCAAGATAACTTTAGCTAACTGTTTGCAAGAATTAAAGTGCAACAAGAATAATGTCAGTTAGTGGAGTCGAAGACATAACCCACAACTAAATTATTGGGCGTCTTTTACTGAGAATAGGACATGAATTCAGAAAACAACCAATTATGTGACGTCAGTCTTTCTGCACGGGACAGAAACTTCCACTGCGTGTCACGAAAAGGATTTCCAACAGGCTACTGAAGACTTTTATCAACAGCTGCCATCTTCTCTGACTGACTTCATACTGAACATTAAATGGCCAGTCGGCCGGCCAGAAAGAACTAGCAACAAGAAACTCTGGCTGACAACGCACGAACCAATCAAGGACCTATTGCTCAACAGATATTTAGGAGAAAATGGAGACGGATCGAACATACATTGAGAAGGTCGTTGAATGACATCGCGCGCATTGCAAGTTACCACTCGAGTGGAAGGTGAATAGGAAGCGACAAATGGGTCGTTGGTGCGAGGATGACATGGAGAAGATCGTGGGAGGAGAAGATGAGAGATTATAGTCAATCGTAGACCCAGCTGAAGAGGACGGCAGAGGAAAGGAAAAAGTGGGGATGTGCTGTTGAAGTTGTCTGTCTGTCTGGATGCAACATAGAACTTGGCACCGAAGTGCAGCAGTTCGAGTTGCCACGTTCCAAATAGCACACAGAGGTAGACAAGAAGATGAGTGAAGAGAATCAATAGAGTTTGACAAATATAAGAGTGAAACAGAATGGGTAATGGTAGAAAGGAATATGAAAGATTACAGAGATTGAATACATCTGCGCCATTGACAACGATTTTGAGCCATGTCACCTATTGTCTCCAGCCATTGATTCCTAGAGTCCCGAGGGCCCCAACCCGGGAGTCTGCATCTCCCTACCTGACTCAGTTTAACTGTCAAGGATTTCATGGATTGATGCCATGTTTTTGTTTGGCCACCACTGGCTCTTTTCCAACCTGAACCTATATCAGCTAACAATGCCCGTCGGGGGGGTGCCCTATTACTTTTCCTTCCACAATTTAACCAAAACTTTTATGCTTCAGGACCTGTACGCCGAAATTTGCTTCACTTAATCCAAGAGATTCCATGGGTCCTTTTGGGACAAGTTGTACGTTCCACTTGGAACCAAATGGAAGCACTTTTCTTTTCAATAATGAATAAACTAAGGAATTTACTAATTGGAGGTAGGCGGCGCATATATAACTACTACTGCTACTACGCTTTTGAGAGTTAAAGGTTCACTTGACTGTGAATGAAACCGCTACCAACAGCTTATTCGAATATAAAAAGGTTTTTTTCTAAAAAAAATGTGTATACAATATGCGATAGTTTATGCAAAACGGCAACAAGATTAGTTAACTTTTCAATGGTAAAAGTTAAGAGTTTATAAGACTTAGAATAATTCAATTCATGAGGCCTGTTTGATTTGTTATTGCTGATATTACATTAGAATTTCATATGACTTTAAACTCTGGCTAGCTAAGCAGCACTGTATTTACTTAAAAATTCTTATTTGATTTCGACAGAAAACGGTAGAAACAAGAGACAGGCTAAACATAACAGGATATTTTTTGTTTTGCTATTTTGTTTGCCGCTTAGTTTTATCTCTACGTTGTAAACGATTTTTAAAAAAACACGCTCATGTGAACAATGAAAAGACAACAAATTAATATGCATGAAAAATACAAAAAAATATTTAAATTTAAATTTTAGGCAGACAAATATCAACCGAGGAATAGCGTACCCTAGAAGCGACAGTTATTTGCATATTCAAGAGGTTGAGTGAAAGTTATCTGGACAAATGTCTTGTGATTTCCTACTCCTTGAGACTTGTTGGAAGAACACACTCACACAGGGCCGTCCGGTTACAAGGTAAGCTCATATTGTGGTGAGAGATGACTGCTAGCCAAAGTGGTAGGCAGTAATTTACGTCAGTGTTTATTATTATTATTGTTCCCTTGGATTCCTAGTGGAACATAGGGCTTCAACTGCACGTCTCCACTTGCTTCTGTCTTCTGCTGTACTTTTCACATGCATCCATGTTAGTCCATACTGTCTCAACTACTCTCTCTTCACACGATCTCCTCCAAGTCACCCTTGCACCGACGTCCCACTCGCCGCTTCCCTTTCGGGTCACCAATATTGGTTGTTAGAAAAATAAGAACAAAGACTGATTCAGCAACCAACCACAGCAGAATTTGCGTAGGCGGATACAGTTAGCATTTAGATGATCTGACGTTCAAGAAACAGCCACAAAGAGACGAAAGGTTAACTTTCAGTGAGAAACAACCGAT